AATATATCAATATGATTGAAATTAATTATTTTTGACTTGTCGGAGGAAGACTGGAATAAGTGTCTCCAAGACTTGAATGAGAATGGTAATTTGTTAAGAGAATAATGGAGAGTATTTTGAAAAAAAATTGTAAGTATATATTGTTTACTTTTGCGTGTTTTAAAATTTATATAGTGACCTGATATAGAGTATGTTATTGACACATTATAGAAAATTATGTGAAGTATTAAAAAAAATATCCATTTTATTCTAGGTAGTGGTCCCTCGGAGGTCAAAATACGACCGTAATTTTTTAAGCTATTTTTAAAACTAAAGCTACGCCAAAGGCGCGGACAAAATTATCATTTTAGGCTTTAAACCTAAAACTAGACATTATTGTCGCCTCCTCCGGGGGCCTGAAACCACAAGGGCCGGGTTTTCCTAGAGTAGGTGCACTACACTTGTCACCAAAGAACTGTCATAGAAGATACGAATTTCTCTTAACAAAAATTCGGTTTAGGCCACATAGATGATGCGCATTGATTATGTCAATTGTCATTCAAATGAGGCCAGCAGTTTACTAGTGAAGTTGTGTTTTGATCTGTTTGAGCACTTCCACACCGGGTATATTACCTGGGATATTTAAAAGATCTTATCTCATGAGCGAACAGCTCATAACGATTTCTACACCACCCAAAGGTTGACTGGAAGAGAATGCCGTGGGCACTAAGTCCGCCGATGTACAAAAGTGCATGAAGTTAAATAAATAAATAACATTCAAAACAATAAAATAAAACTTCAATTTTCAATGATGATTTTTATTCTAATTAAATTTAAGTGGAAACATGAATTCTTATAACACGAATCTAAAGAAGGAAACACTATTATATTCTTAATTAGGAAATACTTATTAAATTAACAAATTGTCTTTCATTTTGTCGTCGTTCAAACTATAATACAACATAATCATTGTGAGAACTAAGTTATTAAAGGCAGCCATCTTGTATGGCACAATATTACGGTACCGACAATGACAACAATAATATCAATTAGTAAGAGACAAAACATTATACAAAATAAATTATGCAAAATATAAACAAAAAACGTTGATATTTTAAATTGTGCCGAAAACAAGCTTCGTCATTTAGGTAGAGGACAACAATTAGTGATAAAAAGACAATTTAAACGTATTAAGTAGCGCTCTAATAGTAATTTTTAGGCAAGTTTTAAGTTGTCACGTAGAAGTAAAATAACATAAAAAAGATAATTTAAATATGAAATTAACTGAATAAAAAGTTCTGAGTTAAACATTTGTACTGAAACAACTGAGTAAACTTTGCTGTCCTTTACCTACAATTTACAAAGTGAAAGCTCATCAGTGTCAAATGTAACGCTACTTATGTTAAAAGAGTAACAATTATATGTAACTGTAATTAAAACATACTTTTACAATTTTATCTTTATTTTATTACCATTATTTTGAGAAGGCACATGAAAATTTTCTTATAAATAAATGAATCGACCGCGCGACAAAAAAATCTTTAAGTTCTCAACTGATACTAGTACTCACTAAAAAAGCGAAGGTAAATTAACCTTTTTTTAAAGACTGGGGCATAGACAAGTGGTTAATCGTAGAGAACAATCGCATCACCAGCCTTTTGTCAAGCTCAATAATTGTCGTTCTGTAATTGTTGACCGCTAAGTTAATATATGTAAACAGTTCTTACACACTATATAAAAATACAACAATATTTTTTGGGGGGAAAATTATTTGACTTGGTTTGATTACCGACATGAGTTGCAAAAGATTTTTTTTTTTTAATATTAAATACATTTTAATGGTTGTTGTACACGAGAAAGAACATAAATTCCTAAATACTCGTATATGAAGTACCTTTAGAAAGATTACTTATTTTCGTACTTGTACTTAAACTGACATAGTATTACAAGCACATACAACGTATTACATACAAGTATAGAGATGAAAATTGTCTTCAGTAGATGAAACATGATGACACTTTGAATCGAAAATAAACTTGTTATCTTTTTGTATTTAATATTTTGTTAAATTTGCAAAAATTATAAATGTAATGTACCAAATGTTTGGCAGCAAGTCAAATAATTTTCAGTGGTACCTAGGTGATATGCCACAGACAATATCTTATTTGTACACACTACCGTATATTCTAGGTAAGTATAATATTTAAAAATTAAAATACGAATTTTTGGATTATTGAACTAAAACAGAGGTATTTTGTTCGACTTCATTTTATATAAGTATATATATGTATATATATATTAATAGAGATGTATTATATTTCTTAAACCGTTGTCGTATATTGAAGTTGTGTTTCCAAAACTGATAATGATTTCGCTATCATTGTGTTAGCATCGATATGAAAGCATATGTACATATTCAGCCAATAATTAAACATATATAATTGTAAAGTTTCGTTGATTTGGAATAAAATGTTGAATCTAATAGTTATCCTATTGCAGTCCAGATAGTGTTGAAATATTGAACCCCAATAATAACACAAGGAGAGGCTTATGTCCAGCAGTGGACTATTATAGGCTGTTGATGTGATGTGATGATGTGAATAACACAACAGTATACAATTTACACAGATTTTTACGCCTACGGGTAACCTGATGGTAAGTGACTACCGTCGACGATGGAAACCTGCAACTAAAGAGTCACAAGCACGCTGCCCCCCATAAATAGGGGGAGCGGTGGGGTTGGGTTCCGTTTACCTCACCGACTCGGTGAAAAGCAACGAAAAACTTTTTGATAGCGGTTTTCTGTGAGGCCGTGGTAACCCTTCGGTAGAACCGGCCTAAATAATTATGTATAAAGGAGCATGATTATCCTACGGTCCTGCAATGTGTATGTTTCTAAGACATCATATAAAAATAAATTTTATAATAATGAAAAAAATGTTTATTCCAAAACAATCGAAACTTTACAAATATAAAAAAAAGATGTATGTCGTTCGCTACCGCTACGCCTAGAAGTAAGAAAAATATATATTTTTATTAAACTAATTTTATGAAAGCTCGTGAGAATATAATATATATTTAAACATTAATTTACACGTGCGATGCTTTTCATTATGTTTTGTAATTTCAAGTTTTTCATAACAGTATTTTTTATTTTATAAACATACGAAGAAAGAACAGACAACAAAAAGACATCGCAAGTAAACAAAACGCAAGTGTCAAAAAAATGTCTTTTACATTTTTAATACTACAGTACACTAATAGATGAGTTATAAACGACCCAGCGTAAGTACTAAAACAATCCAATTTAGAACAAAAAACCAATTGGGAATGGTAAGGGTGTATACAGATTCAAAAAGTACCAAACTGTTTTTAAAATAAAATCAAAAAAGTTCTGAACTGTATGCGCCCTTACACTTAATGCTAGAACACTCGAAAACTTAAAAAGAAAAAAACAAACTTTTATTACATGTCTTTAGAATCTGCTGCTATGAACCGACTCCGGAATATCCCCACACCGTCTTCATTGTGTTTATAATGTTAAATAAAAATTTCAAAGACTGTCTTTTACAGATGGTATAACGTAAATTATAGATATCATAAATGCATATCACAACTTGCCATTAGAGTCAGCAATGGAGTAAGATATATGTTTTCTTGACGTATTTAAAGTACAAAATTTGACGCTCCCTCTGCATCTGAATGTTAAAACCACTACTTCAAAACTATGGAAGCCAAAACGACGGCGTTGCTAAACCACCGTCTACAAATGCGACATAATAAATTTAATTGTTACTTTATCCACCTATGCATTTATTGTAAATGTACGCATCTAATAATATAGAGATAGCTTTTATATTAAACAGTGGTCCTATTAATACATTTCACAAGATAATAAGAAAATATTGCAGTGGTCCAAGATTCGTTTGAAACAAAATGGTGTCACAAAATCACATGCGACATTTTAGCACCGATCGCATTTTAAAACCTTCCCATTTCCCATTCGAACTGCCATTCCCATTTTTATCAGCGCTAAAATGTCGCTGAAATAGATAAAAATTCTCCTAAATTCCGTTGTAACATTAGAAGAGCTATCCCTTTAAATGTATTTTTTTTAATTTTAAAAATGATTATCATTTCAATATAATTCAATTTATGATTGTGGTTCTGACCCTGCCTCGTTTAAGCGATATAAACTATTTAATGGTACATATTACAAATTGTTACATTTCCCTTACATTAGCTACGTCACTATAAGCTGACCAAACATTTTTAGGCCGATAGGAACTAAACTGACAAAATTATATAAATTCTAAACAAATAAAACATGACTTGGGAAGCAAATTAAAAGTGCTCTAAAGTTAAAATCAATATTTCTTTAAAATAGAATGAAAATTCGCTGATAATAGTCTTATTCTAACCATCACTTATGATCATTACAATACTTAGCTTAGAGCACAGTAGCAGTTACAGCCAAGTTCTGTTGTCTTCAGGGCGCCTCGCGATTTCATTTATTTAGGGATTCAGTTATTATTGTTGTTCGCATTTGTGAAGAACAAAAGTGGATCTTGGAAAGTTTACAAACTTCAGCTATATTTGAAGTGTTTCAAGATATTACAAAACATTAGAAGTTAGCTATTTTATGTTGTAAAGCAGGTAAATTTTTATCCATACGTAATTATTACAGTTTCGAAACATTTATTTATTTATTTTGCATACTGTATAAACATTTGCAAAATGTAAAAACATTATTTATTAAACTCTAAGTACAAGGTTCTAACACATTATTTTTCTACATTGAAATTATTAAGTTTGAATGGATTACATCGGGTTCTGATAATGGAATCCCAAATTTGAAGCTCATGGTCCCACTACGATCGCAAAGTCGGGTAACGTAAAAAGTAAAAATAATCCCGACACAATCCACACAAATATACTAAATACAATACTATGATTTTTTTTCATCCATATAAAGACAATTTGGTGGCGAGGCGCTTCCTCACTGGTGTCAATTCCTGTAACTATGATGTCTCTGGTTCTTCCCAGTCAACGTTCGCCCATTGTGGCAACTCCGTCTCGTACTCCCAGCCGGGACCCTGGTGTTCAAATAAAACTATGTTGTAGGTCAAAGGAAATAATACTTTTTAAATTAAAAAAAGACCTAAGTAATTTAATAAAAATTTAAATACGTATCGTATTTGTATGACCCATAGATATCTTATTCAGTGTCAGACGCCTTTGATTTATTATAAAATGACATTTATTGACGATAATGTAACGAACAGAATATAAATAGGTAAGTCGTACATTCAAAAAAATATATGACTGTTTATGATTTGTTTATAATATTATTTAGAAAAGGATTTATTAGAAATAAATTTTCTCTGCATTCTAGTACCCATAATGCAAATTTGGCTACGTAACATGTCCTAGAAAAAAGTAACGTTGCTAAGTAATTGAAAAATCTGTGTAAAGTCCTATATGTTAAAGTTAAAAAGACACTATTAGTCAAATTCGAATGATTTTGTTTGTATTGGATAGTGTTTATTAAAGCATAATCGGCTAAAAATAAGGAAATTTAGTACGAGTGCGTACCTTGTACTTCCAAGCGTGCAGGTACATGACGAGGTCGCGCGGGCGCGGGTCGCGGTAGCGCACGCGGCACTCGTAGCAGTGCGGGTCGGCCGCCAGCGCGTCGGACGGGCCCGCCGACACCGCCGCCACCGCCGGCGTGCAGCCCGTCTGGGTCGCCACCGTCACTTTGTCCGACTGTACATCACATTAAATTTATAAGTAGAGTTACATTGAACAAAAACATCTAATATTATATTGTTTACACAATAGTTTTCTCTACCTAATGTAAATTTAAGAGTCTTTACGCCATATAACCTGTTGTTTAGAAGAAAACTTCTAAACAACAGGTTCTGTGGCGTAAAGACAGTTTGTTTTTTATAAAAATAAAAAATATTAATTTTAACTTGCCGGTTTCATTATCGTTCAGATTAAATGTAAAAACAACGACGGTTTTACATTATTCTTATATGTATACAGGTGTATTGTTTTATTCGGGTGTATGTGAAGGATAACAAGCCCATTTATCATATGAATACCATATAACTTTCTTTTAAACTTTATAAAATTAATTACCAGCCTCCTTTATTAGGTTTTGTACTTTGACAACAGTAATTCTTTTATGTTCATGTATTATTATTCTTTATTATACACAAAAAGTCAAAACAAATATTACGAATACACAGGAATACTCGTATATACAAAGGGGAGCTTAGTTACTCAGTTTTCTTCTTTTCAATAAGTAAAATTACACGTAAACATTGTTCTTTTCACAAAATTCATTAGTTCATACAAAACTAGTTAAAGTGACTCACTTTGTATAAATTAATTACCATATAAATATTAATCCTTTTCAATAATTAAATTCCATCCCAAATCGTTTGCCTCTGGTGATAATTAAACTTTTGCAAACATGGCGAGTGTTTTAGAGAGTTTAGAGTTAGTTTCGGTATTCATGTGGTTTACTTGGTTATGAAATGGCTCATATTCAATGTTTTCATTGAATTTGGAAATATATATTACAATAGTCGTTGTTCAGAATCAGTCAAAGTATTCTGACAAGTTTTTTGTTCTTTAAGTATTTTAATCGAAGATCGAACCGAAGAATCGATCGTCGAAAACTGTTGAGAGAGAGTGACGACACATAATTTCATATCTAATCGATCCATCGGTAGGTTTCATTTTTAGAAAATTTACCAAGAAAAAATACCGAGCTAACCTCGGTCATCCAGTATCAATATAAAAACACAGGAATGTGTTATTTACCTTGGCGTCGTTGTCGTCGTCGTCCCGGGCGGGCTCGGCGAGCGGCTCGGGCGCCAGCGTGCCGCCGCACGCCGGCGAGCGCTCGCGCGCGCCCCGCGGCGCCTCGGCCGCGCTCGACGGACTCGCCAGCGTCGCTGCGCACACACACGAACATTACACATTATAACATCACATCGACAGCCTTTAGCCTTCGGTCCTTGATATGTCTACAAAGTTTGAACGAATTCTGACCGTTTAAAGTCAGTCAAAATCACACTCAAAGGAGTCGGTTACAAACAAACATACAAGAGAAGCTAATATAAAGCGTGTAAAAATGAGGATAGAAAAACCCATTCTCGTATATATATTTTTAGTGAACGAGAACAGTTTCTTTTAAAAAAAGTTACCCCATGTCCCTTGATTGTACTTCTGATAAGGTGTATCAGTTTAGTAGTTAAGGCGTGACAAGATAGAATAAACAACAGATTTTAATACTCACGCGTCATTATAGTGGAAGGCGTAACACCAGGGGCTGGTGATTCCAATCTCGGTGATGACTCTCTGGATGCAGTACCAGTGTCGCAGTCATCTTCACCAACTGGTAATATACACATAGTTAATTCATGTATACTAGACATAGATGAAAATAAAATTGAACAGAGTTTTCAACGAATATTTTTTTAATTATGTTTTGTTTTAATACTTACAAATCTTGTAAATTATGAGTTCTCTGTTAATAAGTAACGTAACGTAACGTAACGTAAGTAAGTCTGTTGAACACAGATCTTTTTCATAATTTATGTTTTTTATTTTATATTATTTTAGTATCTTATTATAATTTTTCTTACCCTTATCTTCTGAAGCTGGTTTAGAGAAGAGTAAATCATCATCAGCAGCATCAACGCCTAGCCAGTTCTCGGCGTTATGTATGGCTATGAGGTCTCTGACTAGCTGTTCATCAGATTTGCCACCAGTGTCGCCGCCTTTGCCACGGAGTGGCCCGAACACCGGGTGGTTGTATAAAGGATCGTTCACTACTGGGTAGCCTATTCAATAGAAAAATAGATGTTACAATAAAAAGACACGTTAAAAATAAATATACTTGTTTTTCATGTATGCAATGAATACAGATCACACTCACACACACCCGTCTTGCACACACGCAATGTAGTGTACATTGAGTGTGTGCGAGACGGGCTGCGGGGAGATGCTCCCGCCCCGCACCTCAGATCCCGACTGCATTTAACACGCGCTATAACTCTATATACATTGCTTCAATCTAGTTCAAAGTATACTATAAATATACAACGATATAAACGCTTAAAAATACATACTTTTAAGTCATAAAGTAGATTGTAATCATAATGTAAATCAATATAATTTTTTAACAAGAAATATTTCAATAAAACTATGATGTGGATTTATTGGTAAATAATAAAAAGCAGCTTGGACACCTGTCTATTTATTAAGATCATATCAAATAATAAGAAAGAAATCTCAATGAAAATTCAAGAAGCAAATGAAAGACACGTTCTTTTTATTTAACGTGTCGGATAGAAACACGATAATCTGATTTCCCAAAGTCTGAAACCGTCTAGTAAGACTTGTAATATAGAGTCTATTAGTAACAGAATAGAACTTGGATACGTTGAAGATAATACTAATCACGATTAGTAACAAGTATTTATCACTGGAGTATTTTATGGCCGACGTACAAAGATAAGCAAAAGATAAAATCTCTATTTTATTTTATTCCCCGGCGATACAAACTGAAAGTATACGGTTTGGTGAAATGAAAACGTATTTTCCTTATCGACAAGGAACTTGATTAAATGTATGTACGATTTCCCTATTTTATTTATTGTTCCTTCTGTTTAAATAAAAGTTTAGCCATTAAGTGGTCGATTTGTATTCGTATTTTCATCTAACTTTAATGTAACTTTTATAAAAAAGAAAAAGAATGAGGAGACAAAAAACGAAAAATTTATCACTGTATAGCTAACGTTTTAGTCTTTATTTGTATTTAGAATACTAAAGATATTTTAAATACACATGAAAACTAGGCATAACGACTACATTTAATTCTATAGGTATTTATACTTGTTTACGGTATTATACTCGTAGTTCAACATTAATGCTGGTCATTGTAATAATTGAACCAATGTAACGATAACCTTCTTTACGCCGATTCCCACATGGGACAACACTTTGGGTTATTCACAAATTGTTGTTCTGAGTCTGGGTGTTCTTTGTATCCATTTAATGTATGTTTGTAAAGTCCCCCGTGACATAGGTTATATTCTTAGTGACTTGTCTTTAAAAAAAAAATACCTTCATCTGCAACTTACCCAAGTACTGCAAATGAACTCTTATTTGGTGCATCCTTCCTGTCTTCGGCTTACACAACACAACACTTGTGTTGTTCTTAGAGTTGTATCCCAGACTCTTGAACACCGTTGAACAATCTTTGCCTTTTGGAGATACCTTGCATACACCAATCTTATAACTCACCACTTCAATTGGCTCTTGGCATTCAATTTCGTCTCTGAAATTCCAAAGTCTTATTTTAATAATTAATGGTACTGAAAAGTACCATTAATTATTAAAGAAAAGTACTGAAAGTTAAATGAAAACTTATTCCTCGTAACACTTCGCGGCGACGCCAATTGAAATTCATTAAATGGCAGATTACTAATGATTAAAATGATGATATTATTGAACAGCATTAGCGCGAGATTTATCAACGTACATGTTATCTAACACATTATCATGGTCATCATCAAATGTCTATCTACTGTATCTAATACCTTTAAACGAGCAATTCTCATAAATATTTTCATGAAATTTAGGGTTTCATTTTTAGAAAATTACCAAAAAAAAAAAACCGTCTGTCCGGCCATCCAGGTACTATAGATATAAAAGCGCATCTTAGACTGTTAGCAACACAAATAAGAATTCGTAAATCAATGAAGATTATTAAATAATGTAAATTATTTAAATCTCGCAATCGACTCTTTAAAATAAACATACTGGTACAGTAAGCCGATATACCACAATGAAGGAGTAGGCGTGAAAGGAATAAACTTGTGGCTTTTCAATTTGGACTAATAATATTTAGATTTGTTTAAAGTAAATCAAAGGTAAGATTGTGGTAAGAAACTAAATGCAAAACACAAGCACGACTTAGCAATATCTTGTTGTGCGTATTACTAAGTCGTTGTTCTATGACTTTGATCCACCCCCAGAATTAGGGGGCCAACAATTTGCCACCGACGTGGAATAAAACACTTCAGATTTACACAAGTAGTTCATTGAATTCCTGACCTATAACAATGCTCTTATTTTGTTCTCGAACTTTAAGTAACAATAAAACTTACTCAGGGAATTCTCCATCTACCCTGCATACGTATTCCTTCTGTACTTGTCGGTTCCTGATTTGGTGCTCCATCTGTCTCGCCTTTTTTGGACTACGCCCGAATAGTAGAAGACCTAAGTTAAGGTATAAATTAGTAATGACCTGTTTTAATCTTTAGATAATTATTTAAATGTAATTAATCCAAGTCTCTGGAGGAAATGTTAAAAAGTCTAACGACAAAGTAGCTTTTACTTTTAAGAGAAAGCTGAAATGTCTATATTTAGGTTTTTACACAAAATTGAATCTCTTATACTTGAGAGTGTTTCTCACATTCAAAAAGAAACACTTTACGTTGTAAAGCCATCTTACCTGACGTTAGCCTGTCGAGTCTGTGAATGGTCCTCAAATTTTTCAAGTTGTACTCTTTTGCGAGTATAAAAACGACTGTGTTGTGGCGGTATCTTCCGCAGGGATGCACCTAGTGATATATTTTTATATTACATTAAAATATTAAAGACAAGGTAATTATTAAAAAGGCAAACTATATTATTGAATCTTTTAAAATATTTTATTTTGATAAAATTAACAACCAACATTTGTATAATCAAAAATATGTATAATTGTCGGTTTGTATTGCAATCATTAATATTTAACTAAATATCTATGTAATCACCAAGTATCTAGTTACATGACATTTAGTAACAAGTAAAGCAACAATGACGAAGCAAGCCTTGATGATGAATTTGAACATTAAAATCTCTTGCACACTTCAAAGAGTAATACTACTTTCCTCCGAACAAACGATAAAAGTGAACCAAATAATGCCACTCTGAATATATTGTAAGCAACATGCAAAAGATGGAAAGAAGTAAAGAAGAAAGAAGTATAGTACGATAGTTGTGGAGCGAGTACCGAGTTTTACATCATTTTTGAAGATTGAATTGCATCTACTTATCTACAAAAGTATCAAGTTAGGTAAGACTCAGTTTCAAGAAAAATAAATAATAATTTCTTCTTATAAATCAGGAAATGATTTCTCCGCCTAGAATACAAGTTTCCCTTTCAAACTATGCTAGTGGAGTTTACCTACTCTCGCAGCAATAGAGACATGTTTATCTGAATGTGTTTTAGTAACAAAATAGACTTTTTAAGTAGGTACTTAGTCAAGAGGTACTTAGAAATCTCATCTGCATACATGCGTATATACATATTTTTTTAGCAACTAGTTTAGAGTAAATATAGAACGACAACAATCCCAAAATATTACTACAGTAAAGATGATTATAAAGACTTTTCAATGGGCGATCAGAAGAAATTAGGAGTTCAGCGTTAGACGTAAGCTTCTGCAACTCAATTTACCAAAATGTTAGATAAAAATATTTGGTGAGTTATTTTTGAAATAAGAAGAATTGGATCAGGTTCAATATTTGGAAAACCCGGTGCTCGCTTGGAAAGATATGAAATAAAATAGGAAGTATTCAGGACTAGCAATCCTCAAGTTCGTGGACCACTTTCAAGTGGCATTTTCGACGAGGCGCACATTTCTAGGTCCGTTTGTGGAATTGTGTTTCAAACTTTTGTGCAGATCACAATCTCTAGTCCGACTCTGACAGCGTACTTTCTTCGGACCGAGAAAAAAAAATTACCACCGAAATGCGGTGTGCTATCTTTACGCTGATTTATTTCCTTTTTTTATTGTACTTCCAGCGCCATTTCCTCTACGTTCAATTCCGTTTCGTAGGGAATAATAAGTCTTTTAATATATGAAATATTTAACAAAGTAAATATGAAAGTCGTTAATGATTATCATTTTGCAAATAATATGAAAATATTGTTATTTCAATATTTGAAAATAACTAACAATCAAATTGAAAGCTGTTCAGTTGAATCGATTGGTGTATATAGACTATCGGCTATCAGAGTCGACAATTGATGATGATAAAACGGTCCCAACGCATGACTCACCGGCAGCGAGCAAGGCTTGTCTAGCACGAGTAGCTCTTCATCCACATGTATGAGGCGCAAAGGACAAGCGAGCACTGGAGTCTCGTGCCTGGCCCACCACAACATTGTTTCATTACGGACTACATTCAGTCTCATGATGTTGCAAATACCTTTGAGACCCAAAAGCCGCCACAACAAGCTAATCCCTCAGTTTGTCAAAGGAATTCCAATCGTGATTCCAAACCAAACAAATTTAAAAGTATTTTTATAAAAATACTTTGCCTTTCTAACTGAATTTGTTGCATCACAGAATCTTCCAAAGAATTTAATAATGTAGAAAATCGCTATATAAATATTTTTTTAATAGAAAATACTGGGCTTAAAGTTTACATTGTTAGTGCAAACGTTGTGGTTGGTACAAGGAGAAAATATTTAGCCCTAAATAGTTTAAAGGATCGTTGCAAGTTTTATTACAAAACTGATAAATTAATATTTTATTCAACATTATATGTACCTATTTCTACTTAAAGGATATTTTATACAAAGAAGCAGTATTTCTACAATATAGTACACAAATAGCTATACAAAAACTTTAATGGCATATTTTAATATGTAACGACAAGAGGGATAATCAAAATTAATGAAGTACTCAAAGTGCATTACAACATCATAGACGATATAAATACTTAATACACTGGACGCACAGCAGGACAGAATTATACATAGGGTCCCAGCTCGTGCGGACATTTTGTGGTGTACTTATAAAAGTTACAGCAATGGTATATGCATTGAAAAGAAAACTAATAATTTAATAAGTGAAAGTTACTATTATGGGTTTTATAGGAAGTACAGTCAATAACAAACGGCGCTTAAAACTTAACATAAACTTTTCGATAAAGTCGAAGAAATCATGTCGAAGAAGAAATTACTTAAATTCTTAAAGCGTTAAGAGCCTTTTGTTCGAACTGTACTTATCTTAACATATTATTATATTAAGATTCTTGTACAGATGTAATATCAAAACTAGGACCTTACATAAGTATCAATGTTTAGCTGTGATTGTGTCAAGTTATTTACGGACAAAGGCACTAATCCCGGTGGATTTGATGGCGGGATACTCATATCTAACATGTATACTAAAGTTTGAGAGTGAATTGGGGTTTGTGTTAAAATGTATCCTTTGTGTCGATAATAAAACGTTATTAGACCAAGATTTGCGTTTTATGGACTACATTTTATGTATGCATGTATTAATTTTAAAATTGCACTACAAGTGAAGTACTATTAGTGTTAATTTTACTAAGTTAGAAGAAGAAAATAGTACTAGATGGAGGATGGTGGACAGGTATGGAGAGAAATAATTCATAAGATAAAAGTTTTAGGTATTATCTAATGAATTATTTATAATTAAAAATATCAGTGGCGCTAATAAAAGCATAATATCTAAAAGTGTAGTACTGCACGAAATCATATTTGCAAATTAATTTTATGATATATTACATATTTATGATTTGATTTTTATTTATTCTTTTCATATTTAAGAGTCTGAAAGTACGTAAAAAGGTTTCTAATAATATATATATTTCTCCGCTCTGATCAGTTTTAGAATTCTATATTGAACTAAAGTATCAATCACTGTGATGGGGAGGCTCGATCATTTGGACCCTTCTACTTTGAAACTGACGAAATATTTCTTTTCTACGGTATCCGCCTTACAATTACATTGGTATAATCTAATATAAATTTATTTCTTTCCTTAACATCGCAATTTATTACTTACTAGAGTTTTGGGTCGGCTATATTTTAAACCTTTTCTTTTTTTCTTTAGATTCCTAGGAGATATATGGAGCAAATAAGTACTCAGGTTGCTCAAAGAATTGAGTTTATTTGAAAAAAACTATCTCGCTAAAATTTACCGGGATGCTCGACTATATTCGAACCTGAGGGAAGATCTTTCTCAAAGGGTAAAGTGACCACGTTGGTACATCGCCTAACAACGACGAGGAATTTTACTAAAGCACACACGCCAAAAAGGATAAACCTTAATAAAAATGCTTTTAGTTTATCTATTTTTGCTAGTTGAGTGATTTTTGTACCATTAAAATTTAAATTGGCAGAAACAACTTTAGGACAGACTGTTGACAAACTCTATTAGAAAATACATGGCAGAAAAATTACACTGAGACACAGATCAAATGATGCTGCATGGTCCACGATGTCCTGATGATTAGCAGCATGGATAGCTAATTAGTAGCTCAACAGGCCCTTATCTAGGTATAAATAATATGCTAAAGTATACTTATCTATAGAAAAAGATACAGGTGTATTGAAATATAAGTAAATTTCGAATTTTTTTAAATATTAACAAATAGAATTAGCAATATTTTGAAATTACAACGAAATATCGTGACAACAGAAAAGTAAGAAGAAAAATATAGTAATATAGCTGGCTGAAAATGAGTAGCTTAGTTTAAATACAAATTGCTAAATATTGTAGTTCCTACCTGGTAACCGAAAAGAGAAGTCGTGGGTATCCCTGTCTGATTTCAACTCATAAGACTCTAATAGTTGGAAGCGAGCGTTTATAGATCGATATAGTTATGTGTTTGTAAAAGATTTTAAATATTTTTAATACAATAAGATTTTTTGGGTATAAGAGGTTAAACGAGCAGACGGATCAACTGATGGTAAGTAAATACCGCTGCCCATGAACGCCTGCTACTCAAGAGTCACATGTGCTTTTCCACCCTTGGAGTTCCGCCCCCTAAAGTCAGGGTTTGGGCTCAAGTAACTACACTCACTCGGTGATAGGCAACAAAATAACTACTTTTCGCCGATATAAGATATTTGTATTTCATATTTTCACACGATCCTAAATAAGATTTCATTTTCATTCCGATGGCGTTTTAATGGAAGTAAGGATTTCAAACAGTTTTATGAAAGCCAAGAATTTAAAAGCACATATACAAGATAACGATGAAAGAAATCCCAATAAAACGCATTTTGCAGAACAAAAGTTTTGATGTTATGCACAGTCGAACAATATACAAACTACATATTTAAGAAGTCATTTGACACATTAAAGACATAAATTACAATCACTACAGACAAGCAAACTTAGAAAAGTGACAGTTTATTCAAGCTTTTAAAAGGAAAGATAAATTTACTACTCAGTTCGAACGAGTAGGGGAAAAGTATTAAAAAGTCAGATTGCCGTCGCTTTTGTTGTCTACTTTGCATGCAAATTCTTGCCCCTACCTTCTATATTCCTGTTTTATTTCATAAAAGTCGATATGAAAGTGCTCCATAATATTAGGTGTACACCATCACATAGCGTTGCAGAGTATTTCTTGCAAAGGGACCGCTTTACGTAAACGTAACGGACTTTGAGAGATGCTCGCTTTAAGAGGAATTTGAAGCGGATTTTCAGAGGAACGCTATAATACGATACCACTCACATTGAAATGATGGAGTGAGCTGAATTATATTGTTGATGTTACAGTATTAATGGCGATGTAATATGTTGAATTAATTTTTGATCTTAGTTGTTAGTTTATTTGAAATACTAGTAAGCTTTAAGTAGCCAAAGAATTTCGTTCAAAGAATCTTAGTAGCATTACTATATTTACACACAACATGCATAAGAAAAGGATGGCATACAAGTTTGATGTATGATAAGCGTCACATAACATGGCTGTCTCATTTGCCACTTACGGGGATAGAGGCCGGTTTGTTGACAACCACAATGTCCTCGTCGATATGAACGAGGGTGATGGGTTGGCTGGTGACCGGTACTTCGTGCCTGCAACGATACACACGTCAGGCTTACGGCTTCTGAACAACGGACTTGGAACAATAATTAAGTAAAATATGTTCTGTAGGTACTTTCATGGTTGTTGTTGCTGCTTAGTATATTATACGAACGATTGCTCCAAACCCATTTCAATTTTGGTTCTCGTGACTTATGAAATAGAGATAAAGACGAGAACGAAGCAACAAATGAACATACGTGAGCGAATTTGAGTGTATAATGTGAATTTGCACACTGTACTCCATAAGACACTGTATTGTGACTACTAATTGTTTACATTAAAAATTCACGTGAACTAGAACCACTTGTGTCTCTGCTGGAAAACGTCCAATATGCACTCGCATGCTCATTCGGTGCTTAAGATGTCGTTATTAAAGATTATATTTGTGTTACAGTGGACTAAATACAATTTAGACCTGAAAGACAAACAAGCTATTCGACGTACGTCACATATTTATATTATAGTTAGAGTAACTGTGATAGTATAAACACTTAGTAAATAAATACATATAAGGCGAGAAAAAATAAAGTTAATATTTACAATACTGAAAATTAAAAGGTCTGTAGTGTGTATCGTGTTGAACGGAGACCGGGGTATAGTGTATTGTTACTAAAGTGCCGTGACTATCTTAAGCGGCCTACGATACTGCGACTGTTCCAAGACTAAGATTCAAACAATACCTATGGACAACGTTCGCTAGCAGATCGTTGTGTTTCAGTCTGTAGTCTGGGTCCACTCTGTCGTAGTTGACGGTGAGGGTGCCAGCTCTGATACAACGCTCGTACTCCGCAGCTGGATGAGCCCTGAACTCCCTTGCAAAGACGTCAAGAATCCTCTCGCCTACCCATCTCCCTTTGGTGAACGTAGTGAAGGTGAAGTAGTAGGGATAGACTTTTCTGAGACCTGCAATATGTAATAACACGTGAGTAGGTTTTCCAAAACATGCTTTTTATTTTTAATGTACATGAAGGTATTAAAAACGTTGCTTTAGAAATATAAAAGGTGATTATTCCGACTGCTGGCAGGTCATCAAGTCATAAATTATCCCTAAATTCAGGTGCACAATTCAGAAGTCGTTAGCTAAAATATCTGCATAGCCGTAAACCGCCGAGGAAGAAAACGGCATTGCGGGTAGATGACTAAGGCCATTAGATCATAATGGGGTATTTTTGACATTAGCTTTATTGAAAACTAGCGTGGTTGCTGTTTCATCCACTTAATGTCAACATATAGGATTACGTAATTGTGTTTTGGTGGTATTTTTTCCAACAGTCTTCTGAAACTATGATGTATCGACTTTCACATTTTCCAAAGTTGGATAAATGAGTGGCTATTAATAAAATTTTCTTCATAGAATATGCTACCTGTCAAGGGTGGTATCAGGTAAATAAGAAATATTTTAACCTTAGGGCGGGAGGAAAAATAAAATTGAAACAATTATTTAAGTTTACTAGTGTCTATTTCTTTTTTCTAAGGTCTATAAGTAGACAGACCCTATCGTAAAGTATTTTACCACCAGCAGAACTCCAGTCTAAAACTTACTAGTTTCTGCTGGTGCTGGTGCTACTGGTGGTAAAATACTTTTGTTTTCCATCGGTATTATATGTTTCTGTATGAAAGTATACCTATGTTCTTTCCTGTACTTTGGTAACGCATATTTATAATTTCACAATAATAATTAGATAAACGGTACGGTAGTGCATAAAATGCGAACAAAATATATATTTTGTACAAGTTTTTACAAAAAAAGTGAAGTGTAAAATTTTAGGAGTTAGCATTATCTGAGGCTACTTTTAGCATAAAATAAAAAATTAAATTTTGAATTTACCTGACCACACCTTTTTTATATTCTATTTGTTACTTTGAATTAAAGAGTATTATGTTAGGAATCACATTTTTTTCTAAAATTGTTGGCATTTTACGTAGCTTATGGGGTAGCTACTAAATGAACCGGAAATAACACCACATTTTTCTGTAACATTATTTTTAATAATTTACCATTTAAAATAGTACTTGATCATTATTAAGCTCCTCGAAACTAAGTAAACAAACTCCTTTCTGAAGTTTTTGTAAAAGTTTGATGAAAAGAAAATACAATTGGTGTAATCAACGGCCTGTAGTCGTAAAAGGTATGTATTTCAATCAATTATTTTGTTGTGAAACATTATTTTACTAAAAATGTATAACAAACGTTATTTGTTTGCACGCAATCTAAACACAAAGGCTTCATTAAATATTGTCAATGTAAAAAAATCCAAAACAGTAACACAATAGGTATTGTATCCAATTCCTGGTCCAACATGAAAGAATGACAACAATAAGGATAAAGATTTGATCCAATGAAAAGCAAAAAATTAAAGGAATGGATTCGTTATCGAAGAAAGGAATTCATGTAATCCAATATAGTCTGAGATTTACTAAGATATGCTTAGAGAAAATAAAAATCTATTCGCTTTGAAGGTTTCGCAGTGGTTTTGTTGGAAAACTGTTATTTCATATTTATAGAAGCATCATACTGTTTTCTTATACTATTTTCATCGTTTTGTGAAAAATTAACGTCTAGTTGAGCATGAATTTAATATATCGTACTGATTCGTTGTCTGTGTACACTATCATGTGGTAACTCCTAAGATATTTTTTAGCGTAAGGAGAATGCTGTTGTGTCATTCACATTTAGTGAGATCCGAACAAATACTTTGAATCCAGTAGGTCCTAAATCAATACTTTAAGTACTAGTCTCATTTATAAGGAAATTAATCAACACATTATATTATTTATTTTTTAACAATTAATATCAATTAACGAAATTAATTGTTTGCAAAATTAAATAAAAATACACAGCCTTAACACTGAAACCTAAATTAATATATTCGTTTTATAAAATTTTTATTGATTTTAACATAAAATTAATTAATCACTCACCATTTTCGATATAATAGGATGTCTCGTTGTAGCGGTCATCTGTGAAGCCAGGCCTTTTAGCTTTCAACGCTTTTGTTTCCAACTTCGCCTGTAACAAAGGCGAGAGCAAAAAAATAAATAAAACCGTTGTATTCAGTGGGCCTTTACAAAGTTGTGTGAAATGTTAGAGATAGGGCCCGTTGACGGAGAAGCGTGTGGGTTTAGGCAAACGTTCGGTGAAACTTCTATATTCGTCTATTTAGGTACCAAGTACTTATCGTGTTTTCGGTAAAACGTCAGCGTTTGTCTTTTATTGTACGGAAAATAAAGAAATATATATATAAAGTGTGTTTGCACAGATTTAATAAAATCTGTCCAAATACCATTTGATATAGTGTGTGACGAAATCCATGCTTGTATTATAAATGTGAAAGTAAATTGGTTTGTTTGTTTCTTTGGTTGTTACACTTTCAGTGAAATGATTTTAAAATTCTTTCACATATGGAAAGCTATATTATCATCGAGTAAAATAGGCTACTTTTTTACGGCGATGACCGACATACACACGGGCGGAGCCGCGGAAAGAAAGCGAGTAAAAAATTCATTTTTTTAGATATTATAAAAATCCAACTGTTATACATATAAGTTTGTGAGTATCATTATCACTATATACTTATTTTAGAAGGGGCAGACAGAGACGAATTAAAACGCCTTCATTTTGCCGACTTTAAATTTAATCCTGCTTACGTTATAGGGGTCAAGCTTATTGCCGTCTACCGGGCATATATATTTCTAAATAAACACATAATATAATAGATAAACGACCCCCAGACATATAACAAATGGTCGTGCTTTTCACACAACCTTTGTCGTGAGTTGGAATCGAACCTTCAATCTCCGGCTTAGCATTCTGAAACACTAATAAATTGCAAAATAGTAAGTACTTGTAAGAAAGAAAGAAAGAAAGAAAGAAAGATTATACACACTAATGTGTGCATAAACTTTCTTTCTAAACTAGTCTAGTCTCGTTGAACTATAGTTATTGACTTCCACGTAATAGAGATAATACAACTTGACACCAACAGAATCAGTGATACAAAATCAAATCCTTGGAAAATAGTCCAACAAAAAATAAACAAAACAAACAAATCTTGTTACAAAGGCAATTAATTATTTTATCTCTTGTTCTCAGTTGTATATAATTGCGTAGATATTTTGTTAGAATTTGTTATTAAAGTAAGTTCTGTATATTAAAACAAATCTCTTGCGAAAGCTAAACTTGGACAGGTATAATATTGTTTGTAACAACGAAATATCTTCTCAAAATTAATAACGTAAAACTTGTTGTTACAAATTCACGAAATCTGATAATATTTAATAACGTGTTACTAAATTCTGTATTTATATTTTAGGATCGTTTTGTGGAAAACATTCAAAGCGATAAATAGATTTAATTGATGATTTTTCATAGCTTTACATTTATCAGTATTTTTTCAAGGCTTTTTTATTTTTAGAAAGTGATTTTTAGGGTTTTGAAATAGATAATGAATTAGATTTTTATCTTTATTGACAGTTTTTTTTTACTTTGTGCTCAGGAATTGTTTTTAATATTATTCCTTCGCAACTTAGAAGACTCAAAATAACCAAAACTAAAGAGCTATTAAAAAGTTAATTTGAAGATGTTCTAAATATGATTTCCATTATTCAAATTGAGTTAATACTTAAAAATAATTAAATGTTACTAAAATAGTAAAAAGAAACATGGACCCAACAAATATTTCGATGTGTTTTTGCTATTTGAGGTAAAAAGAGTGAACGAATGTAGACTTGTTAATTTTTTATTGCCAAAATGAAATGTAACAAAGTTTAGCAATCAAACAATCTTTTGATTTATAATCATTGTAGTAGTAGCTGCCATCATGTAATAGAAAGTGTGACTGCACGGATGGCATAGTGGCTTAAGCGGTCACCTCGCCGCTTTCTACTGCACTGTGTGTTGTGGACAACAACACTTTGTGTGATCCACAAATTGTTGTTCTGAAGTCTGGGTGTTCTTTGAGTTCGTTTCATGTATGTTTGTAAAGTCCCCCGCAACACAGGATATATTTCTAGTGCGGGAGTTGTCTTTTAAAGTAAAGAAAAGAAAAGAAAGAAAGAAAGATATTTGCCAAAGCTCTTTCTTTACACTATTGAGTAACAGCACTTATCGGTAATAAATGAATTCTACAAATATATGTCACTGTTTGATACGTTACTACAACCAGTTCAGTCACGCGTTAAATTATATAACAATGAAATTCTTAAATTTGAACGTGACCGAGAATAACTTTAAATGTACTTACATACAATACAAAAAAAAAGTTTGCCAAAAACTCGTCAAACAGGAACAAACAACGGAGCCACATATAGCCGCGAAAACCTTCAGTCAACAGGGATGAGACTACGGACGGACAAGTTAGAAAAGTTATCTTTTTTAATAATCGACTATGCTACAACTTTTGACTTGAACCTACAACTATTGATTCTTTTTAAACTATATTACTCGTATATGCCACGTTTATCAATTACGAAGAATGTAGTTTAGTTTAAAAAATAGTATAGATTTTGTTGTAAAAACCTTTATAACTAAAAAAACTTTCTCGATTCTGTAGTCGATTGTAAACAAACTCAATGTTATATGAAACGCTTATGAACATCTTTTAAAAAAATAATGTCGAGAGTACACGAATTTTTAATAAGCTAATTTCAGGAGTAAACGAATATTAATCCAAGCATTTAATTAAAAAACGAATAAGATTTTTAATTTGAAAACTCAGTTTTCAATTGCGATAATTTTGTGCTTCTCGAATGGTTTGATTAAATATGTTTGTACAACAGATGGGTCGTGCTTAACGGTGATTCGTTGACTTATTCTGACGTCATACAGCACAGGATTACTAGAATATTGGATTTTTCAAGTACACTGCGGAATATCAGTTTGCAATATACCTATTGGGAATTTGACTTTCAACAACGTTATAAATCAAGAGAACATATGATTTACATCGTGCATTGACATAATGAAAAGGTGCAGAGTAATGATTAGAACAGAAGTATTTACCAACTAGACATTTAAATAAATTGCAACTCTGTGCCAAAATAATGAAATTTAATATTGATCGTGTGTCAAAACGCTACTACTAAATAAATTAACCTAGAGGTCACCCTAGTAATCTAATACATATAGACATGTGCCTAATCTCGTAACGTCGATATGGCTATCCTTAATCCGCTTATAGAATACGAGTAGCGCAACCATTGTAGCTGAGGTATATTGTTAATACCACCGACGTACAAGTGGTATGCGCGTGCGCGTGTCTGTCTGTAATTTACTGTCTCCCAAACGAGGGTATCGATTTGAATACTGTTTTTTCGATTAGAAAACTGATTTACTTTTATCTATAATGGGTAAAAATATGCTCACTCGTTTTGAAAATATGCGCACAGTAACTTTTAAACTATCGCGTTTTATAATAATCACACATAATGTATTATAGATATTCAGAAGAACTATTTAAACTGTACAAATGGATAACGAACTTTTTAATGCTTTTTCTAAATTCAAAAAATATCATCATGACATTGTGCAGACTGCCAAGGATACAGCAAAGTACTCATTGATAAGAGTACCTTGCAAAGGTTCGAGGGTCGGCAAACCGCGTTTAACGCGATGGTTTATCATAAGCCGGGTCCAGACGAGTGTAACGTGTGTACAATAGTGTGGACGGCACACAAACTCAAAGCGAATTGTGTACGCGAATCTATTTCAAGAGCTGTTTCCACTCAGTTGCTACGAACATGCCGAATAGGAAGGTCTTGATAGCTGGTGCTGCTTTTATTTGTATGTATTTACTAACTGAAGACCGGAAACGTTTGGAGCATCAATAGTGGAAAACTAAATTGTATAAAAGAAGATCTACTTTATTTGTAGAACTAAAATCTCAGCAAATAAATGGCCAATATAAAAACTTTACACGGATGTCGCCTTCTGATTTTGAATATTTGTTAATAATCATTGCGCCTAAAATATCAAGACAAGATACTACAATGAGAACTGCAATTTCGCCGGAAGATAGACTGGCTGACACTAAGATTTTTTGGCAACAGGAGATTCATATTTTTTGCCTAACCCGATTGGCCCGAGCGCCGGCGCGAGCGTTACATGTAATGCTCGTAGTGCCGTCCACACGTAGAATTCGTGTTACATTACACACTGGATTACATTACACGTTACACCTGTCTGGACGGGACTATAAACATCACACATTCACGAATATGGCTAATACAGTAAAAGCCAGCAACACACACCCATCGTAATTCAAGTACACGGTTTAGCTCTAGACACTTTGCATATTTAAGTATTTTCCCCTAAATTTTCCAACCGAATCCAACTAAACATGTTGAAACAGACACAAGTTTGTTATTAGCTTTGATTTATTTACGCTACCAACTTCATATACATATGGTAATATAGAATTACCATTCAGTGCTTCTATTGGGCTTTAAATTTATTTACCTAACAAATTTGCATATGATTTGTCTTCTTTAAAGAATTTGCAATATTGTTGATATGTTAACGTATGTTGGATTAGTTATACTAGTGGTCGCCCAGTAGTCGAAATTCGATCATAATTCATAATTTTTTTAAGGTCGAAATTCATTAGGGTTCTTTTGTCAAAGACTATACCTCTGTAAACAAGGTTTCATCATATATTTTATTTATTAGAAAATTAACCTACAGTTTGTCTATAGATTTTAGCCATAAACATAAGAGTAAGAATTTTATGTTGTATGTATGTTGTGTGTCATTCAAGCAGTAATGTGTGTAATGTTTATTTTAATTAATTTAGTGTATTTCTAATGCATTTTATATAAAAAAATAACTTTATGCGCTGCTTCTTCATAAACTTTAACTGTGTCAAATTTCACATTCATCCGTTCGCACATTTTTCTTAAAAAGGGGTACAAAGTTTTCGCTTCATGTATTAATATATAGATAATGTAATTTATAGTATTTATTTTTAGTCAGTTACTTTTTAAATATAATTATGTAATCCATTAATATTTATTGACCTGTTATTCACTTTACTCAAATTAACTTGACGGGTCTGTTGCTTTAGTGGTTAATGAATCTGGCTGCTAAGTCAGAGGTCGTGGGTTCGATTCCCACCTAAGACAAAAAATTGTGTAATGGCACGATCATTTGTTCTGTGTCTGGATGTAATTTCTATATTTGAATGTATTTAGAAATATATAAGTATATTTATCAATAGTCTGGTTACCATAGTTACACGCTTTGCCTAGTTTGGGACGTACAAAGTTAAAAAAATTATTACGGCGTACCTATCCATTAAAAACTGGACAATAAATTAAAAAGATCTGACCTTCTGAAATATATTAGGCCCTAATAGTTACTATTAACTGGTATATTTCAAACAGTACTTGTCTAAAAGAAATAACAAGTATTAAAGTGATCTACTTAGAGCCGGAAACGCCGAGTAAATCTTCATCTAGCAGCCAGACAAGTGAATTAAGTGGATATTTCAGTCTGTTACAAGTACAATTATCATCTCTCAGTGGGACCACAGCAACTCTGTCCTTCAGAACGAGTAATGTATTTAAATTAGGGTCGAGTGCCCTGCCGGTCGTAAATTCGTGGCTCTCACGCGCCCCCTACCGGCCGTTCTAGTGAGATAATGAAAACAAAATAACCCCGCAGCAGGGCGGCACGGAACACTTTGAGTTCGGAAAAGTTTTGTACGGCAATTTTTAAGTTCTTCTTAGTTAAAGTTGAGTCGCTTGAATCAAAATGTTGTTTATATCGATTTTGAAATGGGGTTAAATCGATTGCCCATATAATATGTATTCTGTTTATATACCTATGTATTCTTATTCTTTAAATTAAATAAATATGCATGTAGATAATGAGTCTGATAATTTGAACATTCTGAAGGTGCCTATTTTTACGTCAATAAATTTATATTAAATTCAATGCTCAACAAAGTCAAGCGAAAATTTTCTCCTACTGACGAAATGACTATGAATAAGGCTCGCAAGCACGTATGTAGAGCCGGGCACTAAAACTAGTAAACTTGAGCCAAGCACATCTTTTTTATGTGGAACCTTATTCAATTGACTTTGACTTTTACTAAGTTACTAAGTAACCTAGTTTCACGGCAAAATATCGGTACTCTGCTGTACTTTGTCGTCATTATTGGAAATACCTTTTCTTTAAACTGTATTCACTTAAATTCTCGTTATTTCAATATCAAAAAGACCCTTTTAACCTTCTCAGATAACTTTATTTTTTATCAATATTGTCTGTTGTAAAAAAAAACAAGAGATAAACATCTACGAACTCTAAAAACACGAGTCAAGGTTGCACTAACTCACCCCCAAAGCGTGGTCAGTCAGTCATTTGTGAACATAAAACTGTGGTGTGTTTGTGGTCACAAATTCGTCGAGCTCCACACTTATCGGGTCGATCTTTTATGGCCCACTCCACGTTATACCGTCTACAACGTTTGATCGCGTGATCGAAGTTATTTTGTCCCGATGTCTGTAATGCCTTCTTTATGTGTTGCAGTAATATCTTCATTTATACACGTCCGTTTGCCCAAATAAATTTTGTTTAGTGTTGTGTAGTTTAGGTGTGTTTCAAGTATATCGACTGTCGAGAAAGTATTTAATCATAAATGCACGAAATGAGAACGCAACTTAAGAATTATATATCTCAATTTCCTTAGTATTGTATGTAATTAATTCATTAGTAATGTATGATGATGACGAGAGACTGCATTCCATTGGCACGTCACGTCACTGTTTTGGCCTGCTATACCACGCTGGCCAGACTCTTTGCACTGCTGTCGTCCTGCGTAGTTAGTTCCCTTAGTCGGCTCTTACGACACCCACAGGATGTATAGGGGTGGTGACACTCCGTATTCTTAATCCGTCATCACACAGACAGGACACTTGATTTATACGATTTTAAAAACAATAATTTAATATTTATATTTTATTTTGATAAACTTATATTTTTTTTACTTATTTCATTTGTTTTGCCTTCTTGCTTCGCTTATTTTGGGCTTTTGAGTTCTAAGTTACCGTAGTAGATATTGACACAAAATCTCGCTAAGAATATTTAAATCAAAGCTGTAAATAAAATTAACTGGCTTCGGAGCCGTAATTGAACTTATGGAAAGTCAAAGCATGAAAAGTAGAAGTGAAGTTGAGTTTCATAATAGCCATTATTCGAAGCATCGTTGATGCAAATTTGGAATTCCTGTTCCTAACTCTCGAGGGTTGCCTTACAGAGATGTTGCTTGCAACTTTTAAATGAGTTTTAGTAATTTGATCCCAGTTCCAATCTCGTTTTTAAACATGATTTCACTGTAATCAAGAATAAAATAGACACCATGTTTAATAATAAAAAGAGGAAAATATTGCTTTAAGTCATCTTCAGTAAAATAGTAAATAAAATAGAAGGCCTTATCCGTATATTTTGTGATTATATTTCGGATTTTATCTAGACGTATTCACTATTCAGGTTAAGTAAAAAAAAATAAAAAATACGTCAATCAAATAAAAGTGTTTGGTTCGTTAAATGCCTAGGTTAATCCCTATTTTGATTTAATTTATTGAATTATATTTATTCTTCGTATTATGACTGTTCTTCTTTTTATAGCTATTTCACTCAAAATAGTTTAGGCAAGTACAAAAGAAATCTGCCACTATCCATTTTACACTAATCTACTCACTACTACTCTACTTCTATAGCGGTTCGCTGACCTTTTAGTTTATGAATTCAGGAACTAGAATGTTAATTTCAATGGGGTCGTTAATTATTTTGCGACGGGAGGAAATGCCGCTATATTTCCCTCTAAAAGTATTCATTCCCGACTTATACAGTCCTTTTACTATGTTTTTAAGTTGTTGTTTAGGCTAATATTACTAATAGTTATTTAGTTTTTTGCAGTTTAAAAACAAGTGATGATTGATGTAAGCAGTAAATTATTATTTCATATTATTAGGCACTAAAATAAAAAGCCTTTTGTGGTTTTCCTCTTATTTTTTGCAAATGTTGTTCGTTTGCGTCACATCCTAATCTAAGAGGAGAGCTACTAGAAATGCAATTTTATATGTTGGTTCAGTTCCTGTGGTAATACATGTATATGATAAGCACAACTCGCTGCTGCACTCAGGATGGACTCCAGACGATGGAACTTCACAGCAGTCAACAGTACAGACACGAAACTTAATTTATACCGTATTTTAGCATTGCATTTCGATAGTATGCCTGCTTTGAAATTCAAGATGACCTGTCTGCCAAAATTGAGATTATCTCTAGACAACGAAAATGCTACACGATTTATGTGAAAGTAGGTTTAATTAAAGTTTTTCTATTGAAATGAATTTATGTACACTTTAAATATTGAGGACACCACGGTTCAAGATAAATGTGCATAAAGGTATGTTTAGCTTACCTTTTTTAAGTCTTTATTAATGTCTGTGTCATCAGCTTTCCGCTTTTCACAGGATAGAATGCTCATATTCTTTCCATTGTCTTTCTCTCCCTGTAACCAAAGAAACAGTAGATATAAATAAACGAGTATAAAAATTCGAGGGCATCATGAAAGTCAAGTTAGACAAGAAAATGTAAGAAAGTTTATGGAAAGTGTAGTAAACAAAAAGGTATGTATGTGAGAGAGCCGGGCTTCAGTACAAATGGGCCGTCTAGACCGGAGTGATATAATGGATATGAACACAGAAAACCGGTGTTAAGGAATTCTTTTGTTGCCTTTTATAGAGTGAGCAAGGCCCCATCATCTGATTCTGGGGAGTAACTCAAAAGGCGGTAAAACAATTGTGACTATTGAGTAACAGGTGTCCATGCGTGGGGGTAGGCACTTGCAGATGTTTAAGCAACATTTTTATTTTATCTTTTTTTCTCCCATGGGACTTTAGGTTCATCATCATCCACAGCCTCTAATAGTCCAAAGCTGGACATAAGCCTCTCCTTAGAAATGAGGTTTTGGCCTACTATACTACGCTAGCCAGACGGGTTGGTATAGGGTTTGTTTCAAGTTTTCTCCAGCACTCTTTCCAGTGCTGTTGTCCTGAATAGTTGCTCTCTTAGTCGCCTCTTACTCAGATGAGGTAGGCTCAAGTTCACGCCACTCACTTCTACAAGGGTAGAAGTGGGAGCCGGGCTCTTGAGCTTACATATACATGTAAGAACATAGCTTACGACCCCCATTTACAATCATTAAACTTTTACTACAAACCCCAAGGAACTCTGATCTTCCTTTTTTAAACCCTGTTGATATACCTAAAGATTTGTTCAGAGATTGTTGTCGCCCTATATTTCTTTATGATGTCGCTAGTGTACATTCCATAATACATCTATGCGTTTTTTTCTGTACATTACAAAAGTAATCGTCAAAGTGAAGGACGTGGTATGCGAGGAATGCAGGTGGTCCCGCCATCCAACAGGGACCGAATAAAATGAAATGTTATAATCCAGTGTCCGATACTGCGTCATAATGAAATTTTTACCCTGTAATTTTTTATAAAAGAATTGTTTGGTGTTCTATTAAAAAAAATGTGTTCCAAACTTATATTGCCATACCGCAGTAGTAAAGCAGAGATACAAAGTGGAAATTTTATTTATAGTATTTTAATTAAATCCAGCTTTGAGAAATTGTAGTAAATCGAACCTTTCTTCCTTCCTTCCTTCCTTTCTTAGATGAAGGTAAAGATAGGAATTCGTTTTTACACTTCAGCCCGTCACCCCAGGGTACCATGGTCATTAGAACAGGATAAGACAGCAGAGCAAAAAAGAATACCTACTGCATTTAGGATACAACCCCCATCATTAAAACGTGGCAAGGAGGGTTTAGTTATACATATAGCAATATGTTTATCAGGGTTATAGGCTCTATTTGATTTTAGTACAGACGTGTTTAGGTGCCTCAAGTTCCGGGCACGCCGTCATCGCGGCGGTAAGACCCGTTATGGAGGATTGGCTCGAGAGGCGTCACGGGACCCTCTCATACCGATTGACGCAGGTGATCACTGGGAAGGGATGTTTCGGAGATCACCTGTGTCTGATCCGCAAGGAGCCAACGCCTGAGTGCCACCACTGCGATGGCCAGACCGTGGACACGGCTCTCCACACGCTGGCAGAGTGCCCGGCGTGGGTTGAGCAGAGGCGAGACCTCGTGGCGGCCATCGGAGTGGGAGTTCTCTCGCTCGATAGCCTGATTGCGGCTATCGTGCGGAGCGAGAGTGCGTGGAACTCTGCCGTCTCCTTCTGCGAGCAAGTTATGCTGGCGAAGGAGACGGCGGAGCGGGACCGGAAGAGGTTTAGAACTCTCCCGGCCCGCCAGGCCCGGGAACGGGCCAGGTACCGCAGGCGACTCAGGCGCCGGAGGTCGCAGAACGACCTCCGTCCTCCATAAGCGCAGGCCTGGGGGTGACAGGTGAGGCCATCTGTCACCCTAGAAGAAGCAGGCCGGGGTGGCGGCAAGCGCGTTGCGAAGCGCGCTCGCTTCCAGGGAGCACCGGGAACATGGGGTTCCCACACGGGGGGGGTCGTCTACTCGTCTCTAGATGACCCGAGGTATGTCGGGGTACCAGGGACTTCCTTTCTAGGGTATACCTGGTTCTCCGGCTATTAGTACCCGAGACGGCGTGTGGTTTTAGTCGGTTCGAGTCCGACATGCCACCGACAGGTGGTATCCGAGGGGATTTCCGCACGGAAAAAAAAAAAAAAAAAAAAAAGGTGCCTCAAGTTATTATTGTTACTAATATTATTACTATTTACATAGATTGTATCGTAATTGTTCTATAACAGGTCAAAAAAGCAATTCTATATTATATGCATCACATAAAACAACAATAAAAATTTATGCCGCCCACTCGATAATTTACTAACTCTTGTAAAAATATCCACGTATACGTTGAACCCAACTGGAATCGGTAATCAAAACAGATCAATCAGAAACCAATTTGTTGTCAGGGTTGACGCTAAAAAAAGGATGTAAACTAGAACTGTTTCGAACAAAAATAATTTCACCGGTAGAATTTCATTCATTTTTTTACTAAAAGAATTACCAGTTTACTAAAAACCGACGAATGATGGATGTACCTATTGAGTTTCACGATCTTTTACTGTGTCGTGAGAAGTAATTTAATAACATATCACACAAGAGAAAAATCGATCGGCCTTGGGATATTTGCAACTGCAGGAAATTATGTCTAAATATTATGTAATTAAAATAAACTATTATGGGACTCTTTAATGAATTTTGCCTTATTCTACTTGAGGTAGAGCGTTTTGATGATTAGAATATTATAGATAGAAGTATGCTTGTTTAAAACAATACTTATTGACTGTCTTACTTATGAATGGCTTCAAATCCCAGACATAAAATAACTAAAATATTAAACTCACAATTTTTAAGAATTAATTTAGGCCAACAATCACCCATAAATAGTCCTTAACCAATAAAATCAAATAAAAAGTTTTGTTTAAAGATGAACTGGCCGGTGGCAGCAATTTTTTTGTGTAAATCTGAATATTATAATTGAGTTACTTTTATAGAAAAAAAAGATGTAAACATATTTATTTTCTAATGTCCTTCGGTATTTATAGTTAACAGGAGGTAAATTCCCAACCAAAAACAAAGTTTTGCCAACCCTATTTAGTTTCAAAAAAGCATCCACGCGCTTCTCACAATTAGCGAGCTACTAACAAACGGTTTGTTAGACAGTCAGGGACTGATTGCGAAACGTGTCAACTGCGGTTGTGGTGGAACGCTACTACTTTTTAGTCCTTTATGAGGATGTGTTATAGGTATGTACGTACAGTGAACTCGTGCTATTTTCTTGATACCAGAATACAATTGAAATAATCTTTGGCAGGTGGTGTAACTATATGCAGGGGTTGGGATGTTTTTTGGTGAAATATTTTTAGTAACAATTTTTATGGATTGTATGAACGAGAAGAAAACATTTAATCTTAAATGTAGTTTTAAATTAACTCATTTCTAATATCCAGACGTAGACTGCTAGAAAATACATCATCACATCACATTAACAGTCTTTAAAAGGCCACTGCTGGACATAGGCCTCTCCTACAAAAGGAGGTTTTGGCCTACTAAAATACCTATAACATAATTGCATACATTGTATGTATGTGTATGTATACATTTTACATGTATGTGTATGTATACATTTTTTGTGCCTAAAGTGACAAATAAAGACAGTCGCGTTGGATTGAATTTAATAAGATTTATAGTCAATTAAATAACATTTATAATATAGTGTAATGAATACTTTTTTATGATTTAAGTACAAGAATAGAAATTGTGTATTTTGATACCAAAACCGTTCCAGCAAACGTTAGTACAATCTGACTCATTTTATTATTTATTCCAACTGGGTGTGTACGTCGCAGTTTTGAGTTGCGTGTAGACCATATACCCCAGTGGTGCCAGTGAATACTGACATATATAGAGTGGTTTTAATTTATTAACTTAATGTTTTAATTTAATTTTACGTAGTACCACAGTTCATTAACATTATCATCATACATCTATACTTATATATTTTTTTTTTGTTTGTGACACTTTCGCGCCAAAACCACTAAACCGATTTCAAAAATTCTTTCAGCAATTGTAAGCTACATTATCCGCGAGTAACATAGACAACTTTTTACCGCGATAACCGACATACACGCGGGCCGGAGCCTCTGGCAAAAGCTAATACAATTTATATGTAGTTAAACGCATTTGTCAGCAGTGTACGGATGGAGGGTTGAAGTAAGTATTCTGTCAACCTACGCCTAAATAGAGAATTTACCCGAAGGTGGTGCCCGCGCCGTTGACGGCGGGCGCTAGGAGGGGTCCGGATGTCTTAAAAACATCGGTTCCCGGATCCCTCCTATTACACGCGTAAAGTGGCATACCGTGTGGTTTTAGTCGGTTCGATTCCGACACACCACCCCACCATAAACCCCAGACGAGTGACGGCCCGCGGGGGTTTCCACACGAAAAAAAAACAAAGTATACTGTCAACCTAAATAGCGTCGAGTATTTTGGGATTAAGGATAGTCGTTATCAGTTGTGTACTTTGTCGTATTTAATTGTTTGTTTATTAAATGATACACTGCTATAGATGGAGATTTATTCAAAAGAAGTTTTCGAAGTTGGTTTTTCAGCAATCTTCTTCGTCTATGAAACTTTGTCTCTCATCGCTACGTTAGCCATGAGATGGCACAGCTTAAATGGGTTTTGAATTTTTTTCATTTCTAATTAGTTTAAGTACATTCTAAAAGAAAGAGCGGAACCCTTACAGAAGAATCAGTCGTGCGTTTTTCTATCCATCTGTTACAGACTATTTTATTGGTACTAATTAAGTTGAAGTTTAATTCAGATGTCAAGTTTTTAGACCCAGTAAAAATCATTTTTATGCCCAAGAAAACATGTTTTTTTCTGGACGTTTCGCGATGTAAGTCACTTAACGTCCTTTGTTGTATATCTTGCAACATATTTGTAATTTACTATGTGAT